CTGTTTTTAATGGATTACTTTTGTGAGTAACTTCCCCAACACTGCTGCGTAAGCATACAGTCAGGTTACCTTTATTTTGTTATATATGTCCTAAGAAATTCCAGATTGAGTTCATTTTAGAAGTATAACGCACTGATTGTTTCTGCGGCTTATTAACAAGATGCTAACAAGCAGAGCATCAAAAACCTCCGAACATCATGCACCTCACATGGAAAATCACTGGACCCGAACCACCACCACGACCACCTCGCTGCGTCTGCAGCATTCCGAATATAGTGTTAGGTCTGTCAAAGACCTTTTATTTTAACGCATGTAAATACTGAACGTTTCTACAATAGAAAACACCAGGACATCTAAACTGTTCGCTGAAACAGTGCCATCGCAAGCATTTCAAGTCAAAATCCACTTGGTGGGGGTCTTTCTACACCCCCTGGGTTTTTCAGAATGCCTTATATTCCCAATAACCTTTCCCTTTAAAAGTTTTTAAGTTATAAAAAAGGTCTAATTGAGATTGCATATGAAAAGCACCTTCATGGGCTTTTTGAGAATTTAGCAGATGCTCTTATCCAGAGCGGCTTCCATTTTTCTAAATTCAGGGACAGTCCCCCTAGAGCAAGTTGGGATTAAGGGTCTTGCTCAGGAACCCAGTGATTGCAGTGTCAAGAGGTGGAACTTGAACCTGCGATCTCTTGGTCCAGAAGCAAGCATCCTAACCACTAGACTACCAACACCCCTCCAGTTAGGAATCCAGCCCTGTTCATCCAGGTCGGAGTGAGAAGGCAGTAGGCGTTATTTTACCATGCACAAATCCCCTCATTCTCTCACAATATCAGTGCTGAAAGAATAAAATACCACGCACACTAAAAAGCCCCCCATGCCCCATCCTGCTAATGCACTCTCTTCCTAATGATAAACAAAAAAAGGTTCTCATCATTTGGGATCAATATTGTCAAAGCCATCACTCGCAATATAATTAACGCGCTGCTGATTCAATTAAACGTGTATAAAGTGACTTTTATACAGCCTACTGAAAATGCAGTCTCACCGCACCAGCGATCTGCAGTCCTCACCAAACCCCTAATTAATTACAATTAATTAGACTGTTAATTCAATTCTGACCATAATTTGACCTATCCTGACATTTAGCAATTATTTTGAGATATTGGGAGTACTGGAGAAGGAAAAAAAAACTTAAAATAATATAGTGCCAAAAGTAATTGCAATAAATAAAATATTTAACCATTAGATTACTTAATAGATCACAAGCTCTTAAATAATTAAGTAACTGATTAATCCTATTTAAATGTGCAATACTGGGTGAGGTGCAGAAATGTACCAAAGTTAGTGCATTTCAAAGTTTATATAGCATTATTGCTATGGAATCAGTAATTTTTATTATGAGAAACATCTAGATCAGGGTTATTCAACTCACGGTCCTCGAGGTCCGAGCACTGCTGGTTTTCCAGCTTTCCTTTACCTGTCAGTCAGGTGTGAAGCCTCTGACCAATCAGAATCAATAACTATTAAACAACTACCTGGGAGAACTGAAAACAAGGCCTCGATTTGGAATCGAGGTCCAGAGTTGAAGAACCCTGATCTAGATCATTACTCTTAAGCAGCTACTGTATGCATCATGAATTAAGTTGCTCAGAACAAAAGCTAGAGCACGGTGGGAGGCTGCACCCTCGTTTATAGCTGTGTCCGCTTTGCAAGGCACCACTCTGATGCCAGCACACTGATCCCAGCACACTGATCCCAGTATGCCACCATCTGCTGTCCAGGCCTGATATATTAACATGGGTTTACAGGGGCACACAACTACATATGTAAGTTTGCCCTTATTGCTGACCTTACAATGCACTTAGTATCTTGTACTTGAATAATGCTGTCTCTGCTACTACAAGCAATTTATTCTAACTAACGACCGTCGGCCGTTCATAAATCAGCGTTAGATCCCCTTTTTTCCACTGAGCTGGTGACTTCTTGCCAAACGCAGATAGAGACCACATTCGGAATCCTAACCTTGTATTGACACCTGTATTGATTTTAATTACTCTAATTAGTTCATTATTTCAAAAATCAAACAACGCATTTATTACAGGGCTCCCAATAGTGACATATGATTAGGGAGTTAATACGGTAATGAAGCAGATCAATTATCACTCAGAACGAAGTAATTATCTCTGTCCCACACACACGGTTCACGTCCCGGTCCCCGAAGTCACCACGACCCAATAGAACATGGTCACAGACAGGCTTGTCATTTCCCATAGTTCTAGCTTAAAGGCCCTAGCAAACCTTTTTTTGTTCAATCACAGCAGCTCAGCTTCCAAAGTAAACCTTACTCAACACCACAACTGTAGCACTGATGTCACCCATGGTCCTCAACACCACATCATGCTCCCTCATGCTGGGGACAGCTTTCCGCAGCCTGTCCATGGATGATAATTACTCGAGGTCACATTTATCTGTTTACTTTGATATGTCATGGCCAGGCCACACCCCTACATCACATCACCACCTATCCGAGCCACATAGACTGATCCTTAGCAACAGCGTCCTGCGTTTCTCAGCTGCCATCGAGGACAGCGTATGGTTTGAGAGACCTTGATAATCGCCCCTGTGGTCATCCTGGATAACGGTACCTTCTGACCTTTCATGTCAACTGCAAATCACTTTGCAGAAATTATGGTTATACAGTACCAGTCAAAATTTTGGACACACCTACCCATGCAAATGTTTATTTGTAGAATTCTCTACATTTTAGAATAATTGTAAAGACATCAAAACTATAAAAAGGTTACTGGGTCAAATCTCATGGTCAAAAATGTGATCCCACCACTGGGTCCTTGAGCAATTAGGCTAGATGGCTAGATAAATAAAAGATTCTGCTCCTCAATCTACAAACACAAGTTCATATGAAACCAGGTAAACCTGAATATTCAAAGACAATTCTGTTCTAAAATGAATATCAGTTGTTCAGTATTTTATCCATTAAGACACAGCTCATAATTCCACATTATAGGTGTTTGAACAACAGGATTTTTTACTGAAACAATTAAGGTTCAGGGTATAACATCAGAACCTTCCCAGAAGATGACAATGTTTTGATTTTCAGTTCCCATCCAGGCACAGAATAAAGGTCTGTTTTTTGTTTTATGGTTAAAAATAATTACAACTTTTTTGTTTCTTTAAGAGAGTTGACTCCACTAGATCTCGACATAAGACAATATTGCCCTTCATATCCAAGTTCTCAACACCATCAACTATGTCAAAATTGTCCTTTAGAAAACACATCTGGTGGCCCAGATGCATAAGAACTGTATACGGTGTTTAAGGTTTAAGTCTGTATCCCGGTTTTTGTTTGTTCCAGGTGTGCTCTTTAAAAGTGCGTTCGAGCAAAACAACCTGTTCACTACAGCAGCTTACTACTGTACAATAGCACTACTGGCCCCACATTGAGATGAAACCCAGGAAAGTACAATTCTTGCATGCTTTTTTGTTATGCTTAAAACCCTAAATCAGAGCAAACTGGATTGTGCAGGACAGGCCATAGAGAACGCTCAAGAAGGTATATTGCACTGGGTCTATCTAAACCAGGAAACCAGCAATGCACGGAAGAGGGAAGAGGACTCTCCCTTACAGCATGTGCGTAAATGCAAACCACAGTAAACCAACACTAGGTGTTGCCTTTCAAAATAACGCATTTGAAAATACTGATGTTTAAATAAAAAAATTACGACATTCTATTAGTGTCTCATATTACCAACTGCAGTGTGTTCTTTGTAGTTTCAAGAGGCACCAAAGTAGCTTTTAATCCACTGAATCGGATTCATTTACAATTATAGTCATTATAATAATGTTTACCAGCCAGGGGACAATGTGATATGCTTCAGAAGCAGTCAACCACCGCTGCCGACTCCAATCTACTCTAGCTACCAAAGAGAGATGTAAACAAACTGCTTCACTGATGAATAACTCAAAATAGAGTGCACTAACCAATAAACTCTGCGGTAATATAATAACGGCCTCATTTATCTTAAGCTCTAAAACTTAGTTTTCGTTGAGCCCTATGTAGGCTGTCATTCATTTCTATATTGTTAATGGAAATACAAGGATTTTTTTGACGATTTAGCAATGACCAAATGCTGACTATAAGCAGAAATTTTCGATATGCACTAATATTTTATGCATTTAGAAAACCATTTTATTTACACACTGAACATTTACCACTCAGGGGTAAATAATTTAACTTGAGTAATAAATTATTAAACAGCTATCAGCACAAAGAAACAAATCATACTTCTACGTTAGAGGTTGCATTTGCAGGACACAGGTTGGACAGTGCCTCAAGATAATATGGCACATCAAAAACATAGAGTTTTGTTACTGATATGGCAGCGATATTGCTCTCAGAAAAATATCACCTATCCAATCATGTCACAAATATTTAAACAGAAACATCTACAACTGAAGACACAGGCAAGCACCTTAAATACATTCATCGTAAAATTGCTTTGAAAATTCTAAAATCCTAAAAAATAAACATATCTGTATGAGTGGTATACTGAAAGATGACATAAGTAAATATCTGACCATATGTAAAGACTTATGCTTAAAAATCTCGATAGTAATTTTCTCTTCAATATTTTCCCCCACCAGAAAATATACAGTTTATTATGAGCATGCATATTTGCCTTCCTGCAGTCTAAATGCCTTAAAATTAGATTATATTTCTTTAAATCTACTGAAAATATCTTTGCATGGCACTGATTGATAATGCTTCCCTTGTCTTTAGACCAGCATGGTTATCTCCCATCATGTGTGTTTAATCTAGAGCAAAGACTTTAAATATGCTTTATATTATTTCCATTCCAGACTTCCATAAACAAAACAGTAGTGTGATGGGTGCTTCCTCCCGTTACTACTCCTAAGAGCAAAGAGAATGACATAAACCAACCAAAATGTAAAAGATGGAACAGGAATTTAAAAAGGCTTACCGTAATCGCCTGATCAGAACTGCCAATTTTCGCCTGCAGCACGGCCAACTTGTCATTGGCTTCGGTCTCAAGGTCTTCCACTGTCCAAACCAAAATCTGGTTTTGGTCACAAAGATCATTCACGTAGGATCGCAAAATCTGCACTTTCTTCTGAAAAAAAGAAATAATAAAGTGTGAGACACTAACATGGGCATAAATCAAAACCAGCTAATACAACCCCCCAATAATCATGTTTCCCCCATAATGAGTGGAGACCTCAACCCCCCCAATGTTCCAGCCAAAGTTACGCCCTTTGACACTAACGTCGACATGCGTAATCTTGCAGACAAATCGTATTTACGTTTAGCTGCTTAGCTGACAGAACATTTTTATTGTTTGTTTTATCCATTTTTACAGTCAGATGTTTCACCTGAGCAATTCCTGTTAAGTACCGTGCTCAAGGGTACTAGACCAGGGCCTTGCTTACACTTGAACTAGCAACCTTGAGGTTACAAGTTCATAACCACTACACTACATGCTTGCTCCTGCCCTATTATTACCCTTAAAGGAATAATTGTGCTCGGTTAGTAAATAAGTGTCTTAAGCAATACACGGTGGGTGAGTTCTCTCACCTATTTCCACCAATGCAACATTGGAGATATGGTCACGACATGGCACTCTGCTACAGGACATGGCTCAAGAGGGGCGACATCCCTTGCACCTACTCCCTATTCTGTTTGGTTGACATCCTTGCAGGCTGCATGGTAAATGGCCCACTTCACTACACCAAGGATGTGGCACGCGTGGAAAAAAAACGGTGTTAGGCTTTCACCACCCTAGTCCTGAAAAATCAGTCATTTACTTGACTTATGGCTGTGCGCCAATATGACATTTTGTGTACCTGTTATCTCTGCATTTCCATGAACACTTTGAATGGGCCATAGACCATTATTATTCCCAGTCTGTCATTGTTTTTTAAAACAATGACAATAAAGATCTATTGTATTTTATTATTTGAAAATGACAGCCAGACTAGTATAGATAGATAGATAGATAGATAGATAGATAGATAGATAGATAGATAGATAGATAACCATTAAATATTCAGTATTGTCAGATGTGTTCGTGGAGGTCTGAATTGTAAAGGAAATTATCGTAGACCACTGGATGTCCCTTAATTTAATTGCTACAAAATCACCTTGTACACATGGCTGCACATCAGGTAGAATTGTAAATATCAACCGCCTCTCATATGGGTGAATCACCCAGGCATTACTTCGTAAACTTCATTACAGTGGTTTTGATGTATAGGCTGGGATTTCAGCATGTAACTGAATAATTTCACATGACAATTTAAATGATTTGGAGCCTTTTAAACGTGAATCTAGAGGAAGATACTTTGATCCACGCCACAGGATGGGAGCCTAATGCAATTTGCCATCTGATAAAAGTATGCTGCTTCTATGGATCTACCTTGTGATGTACTGTTAGGGCGCGTAGTTGGAGCTACTCATGGCATTTGTGTAGTCGTAATGAATATTTGTGACTAAATGTAAGCACTGCACCTACCATATTGTTGTAAACCCATACCCTCTCCAAAAAAAAAAAAGATTACCCATGTCTACTGGCGAATTTGTGTCAATAAAAGTAAATGAATTGTGCTGCTTTCCAGCGTAATCTGAAGAGTTTTGTACCCAGAGTGGTATGTATATTTCTACATGCTGCAAAGCCGTAACTGTAATATATGTTGGGAGCTCACAATACCACCCCCCCCCAAGTGTTGACTCCACGGCTACGGTTAGGTTATGCCGGCCTCCTTCTCCTGCAATTTCTACAGGATTGTAACTGGGGCACATAAAATAACTTCTTTCGTAACATCTGGAAGATTTTTTATTAATTTTGTGAGGGGTAAATATACTTAAAGTGCTTCATCAGTCCGCTGAATGTCACCTTTAATCGCACTTTGATTCTGGGGTCACAGAAAAAATACATAGATTCCCCCACTAATAAGGATACAGCAAAAGCTTCGGACATGGGCGCAGTTTTGATTTCCTCTGCACAACGGAACACCTCTCTGGTCGGATCGGAGAGTAATACTTTTGAAAGCCGCTGGCTTCTTGCAAGGCGTGCGGAGACTGGACGGACAACGAAGGAGGCTCCCTTACCCGCAGCACCTCTTCGCGATCGCCGGATCTCCGCTCCAGCGACTCCAAGCGCTCCAGCTGTTCCTCGTATAGAGTTTTGAATCGGTGCAGCAGGACTTGCACGTTTGTAGTTGCGGGTCTGTGGACGACCGTGCACGCTTCAGCACCACTCACCTCTGCCGATCTCTTCTCAAAAGTTAATACATGATTTTTATCCATGTTGCCCTTTGATTCCGTAACATATGTTATATATATGTTAGTTTTAGTCTCATTCTCTATTTCAAAAGAACATTTTAAACGATTCCCGAATACGATTAATTAACGTGGTTATGTAATTAGTCAAAAGGCTTCATTCTGTTAAATAATATATTGAGCAGTTGATATGTATCCTATAATATTAATAAACAACTTGTGCACTGTAACAACTAATAACTGTATTTTCTTTTCTGATTTTCATGTAAACTTGTTCTTATTCAGTATACATTTAGTTTTCAAACTATAACAAAAATGTATTTATTTTATTGCTCATTAAGTGTCAGACATAATTTTAACTGCACTACCTACCTAATTCAAACAGACAGTTTACAGTTGTTCAATCTAGTTTGCTTCTCTCTGCAGCCCGCCCACCGCCAAATCCCATTGGTTCTCACGCCACTAAAACTCTGACTTTCTGCGGCGATTGGTTTAAACGACCGTACCGAACGAGTGCTATGGTGATTTTAATAAACAATCTGAGAGATTTTGGCGCTGAGATTTTCGTTTTTGCCTCCCTGAACAGAATAACCTGGCCGGCAAAAGGCGATTGGTCCCAATTGGTCACGGGTTCTAGTTACAAATGATTTTATTGGCCTACTTTCACACGCCTCGTGACTGCTGGCACGACCCGGAAATTAGGTTTGTTTCCGCACCGAAAGGATTTGAACTTGCTCGTGGGATATTTATCATGGGTAAATATTTATTGTTTTTTATACATTTCTGTAAATATTATATTATGAAAGCTCACGGAAATAAACTAAGATGGTGAACCGAAAGGATATGGACTGTTTTGCGTTGCAAGGCAAGTTCAACTAGTTATTATGGGCAGAATTATTGCAGGTCTTGTACTGACATGTCATATCAGAGATCTAACTTCCAAACTTCTTCAGTTCGTAAATCAGTTTATCATTATTTCGGTAATAAGAACATGTTTAGCAGGATCTGTTTTTCCATGAACCGTAAACAAGGAGGAATTTTGTGACATTCGTTTCTTATTACCTTGTAACTTGCATTTTGCTTTATTTATGTCTTAATGTATAATAATTTGTTTCGGAAACGAAGTTTGCTAGTACATCAACAATAATGATTTTACCGCCGAAGATGTCAAAATGTCCTTTATAAATATCTTGGTTATAAAGTGATCGGCGCTAAAGTATTTTCGTTTAACTTGTGTTTTGGTACTTAATATATCATTAAATAAATAAAAATAACAAAAAAAGGAAATTAATACCCAGCTGCGTGAGGCATTTCGTTTTTTGGATCAGTGCATTTCGTCCCTAAATGCACCTCTTGCAGTTATCCTGCGTATTGGGATGAATGTCATTCCGATGGAGTGAGTAAGCCCGGGTTATGTCAGGATAAGCTCTTTTATTTGTAAGCAGGACTCCTTGCGGGCTCTCAACGCACACATGCGAACCTGTTTACTGGGAACAGTTATGAACGATTTGTTGCAGCATATCGCTTTGCCTCCCTGCTCATATGTTTTAATGCATCTCGACATGCGAGCGGTTTCATTTTTCCGGTGTTACGGCCGATCTGTGCAAAACAGCCTGAATTTAAGAATTTAGTACTGTAGATTGAAACGGGATGATCACAGCCCACTCTGAACTCTCCTGCTTTGACCTGAAATGCTTCTGAGTAATACACATGCATCATTATTTTGGGCTATACAGATGCCCAGTTCTACTTTTGGGTACTTGTCTGTTCCCTTTAAATTCGCTATTAGGTTTCTATTGCTATTTTAGTATTTTAATTGTTTAGTTTTAATGAAGGGAAACATGGTTAAATTGTTATACCTTCTTCAAAGTCATCAATGTCTCATTGCTGCTTAAAGCCATTCATACAAAGTGTTTGCTAGGAGGTGATCTGCATAAAAGTCCAACCATTAAAAGATTAAAATGTGTTTTAAAATACTGTTACTGGAATTATTCAAAAATATTTGCACCTCCACTTGTAGAGCAAAGCGACAAGTAAAGATTAGACAGTCCGTGGAGCAACTGGGGTTAAGGTCCTTGCTGAAGAGTTCAGTAGTGATACGGGTATTCTATTGGCCATGGGATTTGAACCATTGACCTTCTGATCTTGCACACAAAGCCTTATACTGCACAGTCACAGACTGCTTATACTGCAGCAATTTGATATGTAATAATGTTCACTGTACTTTGCAAATAGTGTTATGTATTTTTTTATTGCTGAAGTTTTTATACTGAAATCCTATTTCATAGAAAATGTTTATTTTATTTAGTATTATGTAACTCACCATTGAAGAAATACTGTTTAAGCTACTACTTGTGTTGCTTCTGAACACAAACAATAGTATAGGGATCAAAGGTCATCTCAATACCCCTGTTCGTGCTGGAAAAACACTAGGATTTGGTTGACATTATTGATTACAGATATTAGTTTACCACAAACAATCTGCATAGTTGTTCCCTCATTCACTTTCATTCAAAACTTTTTGTTCACTTCAGATGTTTTTTGTTGTTACCTTGTTGAGAAACAAACAAATGTTTTTATTATGAAACACAGGAGGAATCCCAGACATAAGAATTTATAGCTATTAAATAGAATTGTACAGACTTTAGAATCAAATCGAGCATAAAAAATAGAATATATAGCACAGTAAACAAAATGTTTTACTTTTTAAAGTTTTGTGACCTGAGTTTTAAAGTAATTGGTCTGTACAGAGGGAAGTGTGATCTTAAGAGGGCCAATGGGTTGTCTATACATTGGAACAAAAGGGGCATTTAAGATTAATTATTTGAACGTTACGTTGGCAAGGAATTCCATCTATTTATTCTGCAGATGTGCTGTAATGTTTGCCTTGAAAGTACAGGCAATGACAGGTTCTTGCTTCTTTTCCAAAAATGTCTCAGGGATGTGCTTGATTTGTTGCATGTGCAACAAATGTCTGTGAACTCCAGATTCCAACAAGAGAGATGTAATGCTGTCTGGGTCATATGAGCTACAGCACTGTAAAGGTTTGGGCGAAACTTGGCAAAACGATTCCCTCTGTAATTTGTGCTCGTAACAAATGTAGCATAAATTCTTTTCTTTTTTTTTTTAAATCAATTTACACAGCATTTATCTGAACAATTGTCCATTATACAGTTGGTCATTTTTAGAGATGCAATTTTGGATAATTACTTTGTTCGAAAATAACACTGCCCCAAGGGTCACTGGTTAGCAAATCTTTCAGATTGAAGTGTGAATTTGCCTGACCTGCTATTTGACAGCTGTAGCTATGAGAGAAAATCTGCGTGGTTACGCAAAATTCAGAGAGAGCTGTTTTGGTGAGGTTTTTTTTTTTGCATTTCTTTTTTTTAAATGCTGAAAATTGTAATTAAATAATACACTGAATAATAATGTTTTATAGCACGGGTATTAATTACCACCGTAAATTAGCTTCATTAAGCCAGACACTAGGAATTAAATAGGACTGATGAAGACCAAGGTTTGCAAACAGAACATTTAGCTGTATTCCCATTGTATTATCATTCAGTGCATTGATCTTAACATTTGCCATCTTTTCATAGGTTCTGTGTTCTGCATATTGATTGGAAGCAGACAGTTTCTCGTGGGAGGATAAGGTGTTTGGCAAACAGTCTTCTTATAACCCAAGTCAGTATTTTATTTGCCTGGCCGTTTTAATTATAGCGGCATTTAGCACTGCATAACTGCCAAGTAAAATATACAAATTGTATCTCTGTCCTTGAAGATTAACTTAGCGGAATAAATGTTGTTTGGTTCATTCAGCAGTTTTTCCCCTACAGTATATGCATTGGCCCATTTTAACGGAGATGTGTTTGAATTAGTTAAATATGCTGACACGTTTATATTGGTATGCCGTAAAAGTTTTGCACTCGGTTTAGCGTGTTCAGACTTTACTCTCCTCTCATTAACTTTCTTTTCCCTCCTTTCTGGTGTTGTAGCACGCCGCCTCAGCCGTTAAATGTTTCATGAATCTCTAAGCTGTTTTCCCTGGGACCCTCTGTTCTTATTAGTTACACGGGCCTTGCATCTTCCACCTTCCAAACTCACAAAATCAATTAATTCCTTTAAATAATTTATCTTCAGTGCAAACCAGATTAGGCGGGGCACATATCTTTGTGTCAGCTTTGTTTTAAAGCACGTTTTTCAGACATTAACTTTTTGTACCCCCCTAGGCTTTCAGAATTTCTTCTGCGATTTGGGATATGGGGTCGCCCCTTATGAAGCATTAGCCCGCGACAGCAGAGTCTTCGGACACCGGTGCATTTAATCACATTAATTTTTTATGACTTGAACCTATAACAATTAGCCCGGACGGTTTCGACCCAATGGATGTCAAAAAACAGAAGGCTGTGTGTCTCAGTCAGCTTTTGCTGCACTTTGCTGAAAATTTAGCTCCGTTTCATTTGGAACACATACATCCTTCTCCGTGTTCACAGTCCTCTCGCTTCCCAGCCTGTACAGAAGACCGATGACCTGGAGTGGAATAGCTGAGTCCGCAGTATCAGTATCGGACAGCCCCACAAATATCCCCAAAGTATGTCGAACTCTCCTGTTCGTGTTCATATTAAGAACAGATATCTCCGATGGTCGGACAGTGAAATGGCAGCTGTTTCACCAGGTTGATCAGTTCCCATTTAGAGCTAAATTACACCTCTGTTAAACAAGCTTGTAGTAATTATGTGGTCTCTGTATCACAGGCTTCGGAACCAGGTGGTCACCAGTTTGAATCCCGTCCACAGCAGAATAGCTACATGTCTGTTGGGCATTTGAGCAAGACCCATAACCTCCCCCCAAAATGCTTCAGGGGTGCCAAATAAATGGCCTGAGCCTGTGCTCAAGCCTAAGCTTCACTTTTAACTGTGTGTGTGTGTGTGTGTGTGTGTGTGTGTGTGTGTGTGTGTGTGTGTGTGTGTCTCAACGGAGAACATGGTGGGATGTGTGCAAATAAGCATTCCAATGTACCTGTGTGCAAATGGCAAATGAAGCATCACTTCCTTATTAATAGAAGCAGCCGATAATGAAACCGAGGTGCCCTGGTCCACATCACCTTGCCAGGTGGAAGGACTGTTAGGGGGTCTGGAATCGTGTCACTTTTCCACATTCACTCCTCTACCTTTCATATTTCTCTGCCTTTTTTGACCCATATGGAGTGAGAGTTTGAACGGCTCACGGTCTGGCGATGGACCCGGTCATCCATGCCGCCTTCACGCTTGGCGAGACGTGGAAGGCATGAGTGCTGCCTGTTTTGACTCTCTGCCAGCCTATTCTCTCTCTCTCTCTCTCTGCTTTTTGGACTCCTATAGGTATGGAAACTGGAATCTTCCAGGCCCCCTGACTCATCTTGGTGCAGTCAGTGAATCGAGGAAACTGATGCATAAAGTATATCAGTTATAATTACCAAACTCCCTGTGACGGGTTGGTGCCTCGTCTTGGGTTGTTCCAGTCTTGTGCCCATAGGCTCCGGAGTAGGTTCCAGACCCCCTGCAACCCTGAATAGGACAAGCAGGTTCAGAAGATGAATGGATGGATGGATGATTATCAAATTATCTCACTACCAGTCAGCATATGACAGGAAGCACAGGGAAAAAGGCAGGGGACACCCTGGCCAAAGGTATGGCATAGAGTTGTACACTAAGTTGAGATATCAGATCCCCAAACTGCATGTTTTTGGACTGCGTGTGACCAACCATGCAAATGTGGGAGAACATGCATAGAGGGAACTGAACCCACAACCACACACACTAAGCCCCTTTTATATATGAATGTCTAAATAAACTGTGCCTCTGTCATACTGCGTCTTTTTCCATCACCTGTGTTACACAGCCATCTTTATGCTCGAGGAAACTACACTACCTCAAGTGAGAGATGCTTGGTTTGTCATGCTCTCAGTCAACCGGAACCTTCCATGTGTCATCAGTCTTTTTATTCCTTCCCCATACAGTGATACAGATAGGTGAGACAGACGGGAAGTGTCTATTTTCCAAAAGTGTGTGTATATAGAAGATATTCTAAAATGAATGAACCTGACATGTCACAGTCTGCCAATATGAGGCTTCTCTCGTGCTGATAGATGTGAGTGGGTTTCTAAGTCGTTCGTGCGGCTGCAGCACCGAGGACTTGCTGGTATGTGCCACGAAAGGCGGCCCTTTGTACACACTGGCAGCAAACATAGTCATCGATTACAAGTTTCGATGACTGCTTAAGAACATGGATTTTCTTTTCTGTGGCTGGAGCCTTGTAAATTTCAGCCCTTAATTTTTATAGGCACTGGCCATTGACGGAGGAGTCTAGTTGTTATATATCTGGAAGCTACGCTGAAGTCTGAAGGGACCTGTCGATAGTAATCCTGCTATTGACGGCCGCTCTGTAGGAGATGTTCTTTGCCCCAGCTAACGTCTGTGTGATCTTTTAAATCATAATTACATTAATATTGACAGGTCCATGACAATAGTCACATTACTATTGATGGGTCCCTGTCAATGATACGTGTCCAAATAAAACATGTTCATTCATAACTTGTAAACTGTTCAATAAACACTTTGGAAGGGATATCGAGGCTTTGCATCCCCGGAGTGTGGGTGAGACGCCATTGTTTTTCTAGCCCGGTCTTGAACACCAGAGACATCCATCGCTGAATTGGGGCTTTAATTCCAGCTGTGTCTGTGTTTATATTCGGAGATAAATCACATTGTGTCATGCTGAATATGCATACAAATATGTATGCCTTCTGTCGTCGTCCCCCCCCCCCCCACTGTTTTTTTTTGTTTTGTTTTTTTTGTCTTTTCCATTTAGAATAAAATTCTTCACGACATTTTAATAAGCAGTAGTAAGTTTACTCTCATTTTCCGTTTTTAATGTCTGATTCCATAAACGAAAGCTTGGATCCTTGTTTGAACTTGTCACACGTCTTTTGAAAATGCAATGTATGTGTTAGAGAGCCAGACTGGCCCCCAATGTTCATGCCGGACTCAGGTATATAATGAAAGGCTGGGATACGTCACGCCGTCCATGCCGCCAATGTTTACTGCCCCGCCGGGCCCATGCATTTCGTATAATAGTTCTGTGGGGCGATTTGCTCACACGCTTCGTCCTGAAGCATCTCCGGCCTGCGTCTCACGAGCTCTAATGCCTGGAATACACCAAGTCTGTTTTTGGCCGTCAATAGCTGTCAGGGTGTTGATGAGAATTGGTGGCTGTCTGTCGGAGCAGTGTGCATGGTACTGTTGGTCCGCGTCAGTGTTGTTTTGGCTAAATTAATTATTCTTTGATCGGGCTGTTTGTCAACCATCACCTCATGTCGTGCTGATGTGTTCCAGCGCAAATTTTCGGCCTTGTTAATCGGCCTTTGTAGGAGCTAGTACTTTGTGGTTGTTTTGTTGTGTAACCTTTTTAACGGTGTGCTTTGGGGGTCTGATGTTCGAAGAGCGTTTTCCTCCCAGATGCACAAAGACATGACGCTGTTCTTTCTGTAGGTGAGGCCAGAGGAGGTGATTCCTTCGCCGAAGACGACATGAGCGCCTCGACTCCGGTGTTGCGGATAAGCCAACTTGACGCCTACGAGTTAGACACGGCACTGGAGCAGCTCGTCTGGACACAGCTCAGCCGATGCTTCCAGTACTTCAAGCCAGGATTCCTGACCCCCTGCGAAGCGGAGCTGAAGGCCCTCCTGCAGCTCCTCCTGTGGAGGTTCACCGTTTACTCCCACGGCGCCACCGTCGGCCAGTCCCTGCTCAACATCCGGTACTGCAATGACGTGAGCCGGGCCCATGGGTTCCAGCCTCTGATCCGGAGGCAGAAGCTCTGGTTTGGTTTGTGGACAATCGGGGAGAAATGGTTGAAGGAGAGGGCATACAGGTTGTTCCTCAACCGGCCCGCCGAATCACCCCTCCTCAAGGTCAGACGCATCCTCGACATCTTCAGCGGTGTGGCCAAAGTGGCCAGCCTATTGAACTTCCTGCATTTCCTGCGCCGGGGTCGGTTCCCCACGCTGACGGAGCGCCTGCTGGGCATGCGGGTGGTTTTCGCGGGGTCACCAGGAGCCCATGACGTCGGCTACCAGTACGTGAACCGCGAGCTGCTGTGGCACGGCTTCGCGGAGTTCCTTATCTTCCTGCTGCCTCTCGTGGGTGCCTGGCGACTCAGAGCCCGTGCCCTTCTGGCACCCCCGCAGCGGGAGCTGGGCCCCCCGGGCACCGAGTGCGCTCTCTGTGGGGAGTGGCCCACCATGGCGCACACGGCGGGCTGCCGCCATGTCTTCTGCTACTACTGCATCAAGAGCCACATGATGGCGGAGGTGAGCTTCTCCTGCCCCTGCTGTGGACAGGAGGCCCAGGACCTAGAGCCGGTTAAAATCCAGATGGAGATGACCAGATTCCAGTGAGTGCAAGGAACCTCCACGGACTCTCCGAATGATTACAAATTCACCTTCGTTTTTCTGGATTTCTGTTAAAATGTGCAGGTTATATTGTGTATTGTATATTGTATATTTCTGTATAATAATAATAATAATAATAATAATAATAATTAATAATAAATACTGTGACCACCAGTGTGCGTTAGCCTAGAGTGGTATTAATTGATCCGCATAATGAATTTTAATATTTATTGCAAGCCAAATTAATAAATGTGCCTCAAAAAGAAATTCCATATTCAGTCATTTGTTGATTTGCTGTATTATCTTTCCACTCAGATGAGCGGTTTGAAATTCAAGGATGAGCGTCAAACCTGAGGGCTGTCGAAATGATCAAACAAGATGGGGGGGGGGGGGGGGGGGGGGGGGAGTAGAGGGCTATCTGTGTACCCACTCCAGGATGGATGTCTCGAATATGAAGGTCTGCCCGCCGCGGCATAACAAAAGCTAGCAGGGTGGCAGGGCTGGGTGCCACGTTGCGCGCTAACACGGCTAATGGCCGCGGGGATCGTTATTTATCCTGGCAGTAGCCTTCCTGCGCGAGCCGCGCTCGAGGCGACGTGCACCCGAGCCAGCCCAGAACCGCTGGAGAGCGTCAAGCCTTTTTTTGATCGCTCCGGCTTAATTACAGATCAGCGAGGCAATCAATCTCGTCTCCCTGCATGATGGGCTTCTTTGATAGTTCAGCGCTGCGTGTGTGCGCTAACCGCCCCCCCCCCCCACCACCCCCACCACCCCTTCCTGTGGCCTGAACCGGCAGACACACGTACTAAAGTGGTAAATATGTCCATGTAATGTCTTCATATGATTCATGCCTGTGCACACAGTAGTCCTGTTGTGGCATATAGGAAAATGAAAGTGCATCAACGGCCCCCCACCCTTTTGTTTTTTTTTTTGGTTTTTTTTGACAAAAGAGGAAAATGGTTATCGCAAACAAACTTGTCTTTGCAGAGATACATTAGCGGAAACAGTTTTGTTTTTGTTATTCTGATAAGTGCTTTTGTTCGACAATGAGATTTGTTCTCTCCCCCATTTCACCCTCATTTAATAGTTACCGCGGGGTCTCTCTACATTCGTTTTCATATAACCCAATGCACACTTGCATACTGCTTAGGCTGATGTCGCATGCAGATGAGGTACCGATTTTGTCGGCTGCAGGGAGACCGGACGTGGAGAAGCAGGGTAGGGTGACTCGAAGATGGCTGGGCGAACCTCAGGACACCACGCAGTACTGCGAGAAGCTGGCGCACCAGAAACAAAAAGCGCCCCTGATGGGACCAGACCCTACAACCTTCTGGGAGCCAGGCTTCCCTCCGCAGAGTGATTTTTACAGATGCAGCGACGTGAGCTCGGCAAGCGCTTTGAGTACTGAACAGCAGCTGATTGCAGCTGTAAATTTAGTTTACATTTCATAACAGATTTAGTGACGGATCCTTGATTCATTTTCACGGGAATGTCGCTCACAATATAAACAACCTCTTTCCATTGGCTTTGTCCAAATCATGTCCATTCAGAAACTTCTTAAATCATACTCTGGTTTTTCTTGTTCCTTTTCACCCGTAACAATGAAAGATCAGTCTTAATGTAGTGAAGTTTTAATTGATGATGCCGAACCATTTTATTGTCCTATTTCCCAGACTGATTAATAGTTTACATAATCGCTTTAAAATATAACTAAAGTACCGTAAAAATTAGGTCTTGCAGCTGTTCAATATGGCTGCTCCTGTTTGAAAAATAAAGGTCAGAACAGGAAACTTTATAATTATACGTGACATTGTTGATTTTTTTGATGTATGCCTGTACTCATTCCCATATGTACTGCATGAAACGCCAGAAGTGTGTTTTATTGTATTTTGTGAATGTGAAACTAATTGGCTTTCCACTGCTGAGTATATTTATGAATTATACATGAACATTTTATCATGAGGTCATAAAGTGTACATACTATTTTTCCTTTTTGAGGGGAGGCTGACTTTAAGGTACATTAGGTAGGTGACGTTTGTTGTAATGGATTTAGAACCGCGAAGACGGGATTGAGCCCATATGGGGAAGGCAGGCCTTGCGTGCCTGGTTGGCCAGCCCAGTGAGTGGTTCATTCCAGAACCATGCCGTACCATATGTCAGGAGACAACAACAGGCAGTTACTGGTTCTTACAGCCTGAGGTGAAGCAGGCTTCTGCCGGGTCCAAAGCTCTCGCTGCATTGATGTCTAATACACACTAAATTGCAAATAATCTGCAAACATCCTTCCAGACGTCCCCTTGAATTTCCTGAAGCTTAAGCTGAATCAAACTGCTTTTAAAGTCTGGGTATCTTTTAAAGTTGGTAGAGGTTCTAGACCATTTCAGTTGGGGGGGGCAGACGCATTTGACCTTAATGTCTTCCAAGTGTTTCATACACTAGATTAAGAAAACAATTTTGAAAACCGATGTTATTTATGCAATGCTTTGCAGTAACATTTTAGGGTTTTTACAAATATGTAACTCACTCTGATTTCTTGTTTAGACTGTCTTGCTTCCACTAGCTTGATGTTTTTTTTTTCTGTCATTAACTTCGCTCACCGACTGTAGCAACTTGATCATCCGGCCCACTCGTGTTAAGAGTCTGTCAAGAAAATGTCCTTACATTTGTGTTTGCACGCAAAATTTTAGACCACATATATATGTTAATAGTAGTAATAATAATAATAATAATAATACATTTGTTTCAGACCCAAGTAGCATACGTATTTGGGGGGGGGCACGGGGGGCCATGCATGTTGCCATGGGGACACTGCTCTCCGCAGAACCACCCCCCCAGAGTTTAGGTAACTTCCAATAAAACAGGGTAAAATATGGGGTGTATTGTACAAAGGTCTCTGGTTTCTTAAAAATATGTGTTTTTAACTTGTTTCTTGCCTTTAATAAGGCCATATAGCTCACATAATTTCTGTTAATGTGGCATCTGTTGCCTTGGTTGTTATATAATAATTATTAATTTGAAAATGCAGTAATAAATTTAAATGAGACAGTATTGTTTTGTGAAGTATTTTAAGTGGTAATATTGAAAAATGCAGCCCAGGCTGAATTTTGATACAGATTTCTCCTATTTCAGATTAGTTTGTCTCATCAGCATTACTGCAGGGTAAAATTTAGAAGATGACGGTATATAAGACACAATGCAATATGTTTCCAGGCTCTTAGGAATATTCACAAAGGCAAGGTTCAGGTGGTGAGGAAGAAATGCGAAAATCCTATCAAAGTAAAATTGCCCCTTAAAACGGAGATGTACGATTGCGCCTGTGCAGTTTGTTAGTGCGGCTGCACTGTCTGGTTGTTAAAGTCCTAACTGCACTTTCCTGACTGCAGACTCCAGTGTCCTGAACTTCACACTGTGATCTTCTGTTTTGTTCCTTCTCTTCCTGCACAGCCTGATGAAACATAATAACCTGGGCTGGGATTTAACAGCTTGAAATTACTGGAAACAAGAAAAGCAGCATAAAATGGCAAAAAGCAACTATTGTGGTTTTTTTGTGGGCTGCATTTTGCATTTTCACTATATATAAATACACACCCAAGATATTTTTGTCAATATATATGTTTAATTATGTGTAATGTATGTATTTATTTGTTAAATGTATTTATTTCCACTGTTTATAATAGCCTTTATTTTTCTTTAATGATTTTGTATTTGCCAAAACTGGAGAGGACAATACTGTGGCGTAACTAATATCAAATTCATGCATAACTTGCCAAAAAATAAAACAAATGAATAAAAACCAACAAATAACTGTGGCCGGAAAAGACTACAATACAATTGCACTCTTGTTATATGTGAACCGAAATGTGAGTAACACTATAATGCACATAAAATGACAGGACGCTTGTGCATCTCTGCGCTGAATGTTGTGCTAGCCGAGAAAACCATTTTCCCGTTACCATGGAAACCATACTGCAAAGGTGCCCGAATCTGAACTCCTCTTGGAAATCGGTGAACCGACATGTCTACAAAGATTAACCTGCGCAACAGAATTTGTTCTGTTTGCAAATGTCTACGGAGAACAGGCAAAGCGTGAGCTTACAGGCCTGTTGAATATTTTGTGAAATATTGAATAAAGTTGCTTATTTATTAAGTGATTTTCATTTCCATACTGAGGGAAAGAAGTGTGTGTGTCTATATATATATATATATATATATATAGACACACGCCACAGTATTGTCCTCTCCAGTTTTGGCACTATATATATATAGTACATGTGTGTATCTAAAATATTGTGTGCATATATACAAGCAAAACGTCTAAACAACAAAAATATGTAAAACAAAATTATACTATGACTCAAAATTAATTTAATATTATGACACCACTTATTATTTGTTTCATTGGGATAGAGAAATAAATTATCTGTTATTTTTATATTTTATGGTATAATTCCATAATCCAAAAAAGGGATACTAACTGAGTAAGTCTGATTATTGTATTACAAACAGCCCTAAAACATGTTCACCAGTCTGTCTGTCTAATGGGAAATACATGCGGTTAACTATTTCTGAGAATTAGCATATTTCACAGACTGATCAAGTGTAAGAAACTATGGACATTTTGCCTGGTGAATCACAAATAGCATTCACTGGGCTTAATATGACCTTCCTGTCACTCCCGAGGAAAACATGAAATTCATTAAGCAGGGAGCCGTTTCTGGTCTTATCTGTTTTATCCCTCAGGCATTTCTGCCATCAAACTAAAGAGGAATCCAAGACACCACATGATGTAATTATTACAATGCAATTACTGCCTGGCCACTGCTTTATTCTGCTTTGTACGTACTACCGAAATCTTTGCACATGAAAATGAAGTACTTGCTTTATAATAATAACAATAACAGTAAAATTCTGAAGGTTGGGCTTTGTCCGGCGTGGTTTCATTATTATGCAAACTGAATGCATATCACTGCTTGAAAATAAAGGCAATTTCAATTAACTTAGGAGTGAATTACTTGGGAGTTCGTTATTAAATGATGAATCCAGTGTCCTTTCATGGAATCCTGTACAACAAAGAGGAACACAAAATCTCATTGATCTGACTTATTGCTAAAATGGTGTACTCAGTACTTAAAGTTCTGCATATTAATATTCTAGCATTATTAGTCTGAGTATCTCATGAAGTATGCACTTTAGCCTGTACGGTGCTCCATTTCACTAATTTTGCAAATCACAAATGAAGCACTCTTCATAATCTTCGGTATGC